GTGTGTGTGTGTGTGTGTGTGTGTGTGTGTGTGTGTGTGTGTGCCTGCGCGCGCGCATTATTCTTTTTTAAATAATTTTTATTATATATGCGTAGTCATTTTGCCTGCAGGTATATCTGTATGAGGGTGTCAGATTCCCCCAGAACTGGAGTTGCAGATAGTTGTGAGCTGCCGTGTTGGTTCTGGGAATTGAACCGGGGTCCTCTGGAAGAGCAACCTGTGCTCTTAATTACTAAGTCATCTCTCCAGCCTCAAGAGATGCGACTAGTGAAAGACCCTGTTTCACAAAAACCTGTGGGGCTGGTAAGAGGGCTCAGTTGGTGAAGGGCGTGCTCTGCAAGCCCGATGGCCCGTTTCAGCTCTCCCCCACCTGTTTTGGGATATTTTCATCGCACAGTAACACTGCAGACTGTCAATAAAGTTTATCTTGAATCGGGGGGCGGAGCCAGCAACCAGCTGACTGGAATTAGCCATAGAGAAGCCAGCAATTTTAATACAGAAGACATACAGGAAGGAAAGGGTGGGGACTAGAGTTTGAGCTTCTTTTTGATTCTGGGAGGAGGGAAGAGATGTGTCTCTTGCAGTGTCTCCAGCCAAAATTCAAGGTCAGCTAGTTGCTGCTACTCAGCCTCTCTGAGCTGGCAGGTTTTCCCCAGCTTTTGACTCTTGGGTCTTATTGATAAATAGAACAATAGAGACTTAAACCTACATATGGTGGCCACAGTAGAGCTGGTGCCGAAGGACCAGAAGCCCCCCCAGGAGTGGCCGGTGGGGCGCATAAAGCAGGGAGAGGGGCCTCAGACAGTAATTAAAATATCAGCAGATTCATGTGCAGCTGCTAAACCGACAGAAGAACATCATTTGGCACCTCATAAATGTAGCAGTATTTTCTCTTTGGGACTGCTAGCCCACAAATAACGACACGGAGACTTATTAATTATGAAAGCTTGGCCTTAGCTTAGGCTTGTTCCCAGCTAGCTCTTATAACTCAATTAACCCATTTTTTAAAATCTACATTCAGCCATTACCTCTTCTTAGTTGTACACAAAATCACACATGCGTAGATTTCTCCTGTCTGTCTGTCTCTCTGCCCGAAGTCCCACCTGTTATTCTCTCCTGCCTAGCTATTGGCCATTTAGCTCCATATTAAACCAATCAGAAGACACCTTAGGCAGAGATACATCTTCACAGTGTAAACAAATATTCTGCAGCAGCCATCCAAGTTGTTAAAAAAGGCAGTTTCACACAGTGACATCCCTGACATTCCTACTCCTAGGAGGCAGAGACTGGAGGATACCCTAGGCTTGCTGGTCAGCAAGTGTAGCAGAATCTGTGAGCTCCAGGTTTAGTGAGAGACCCTGTGTCTCAAAAAATGTAAGTTGGAGGGGCTGGAGATGGTGCAGTGGTTAGAGTGGGCAAGCAAAGTAGTGAGTTTAGTTTTCAGCACCCAGGTTGTGAGGCTCAAAACTGCCTTTAATTTCAGCTCCAGAGGATTCAGCACCTCTGGCCTCCATGGGCAATTGCTCTTAGGTGCACAGACACAACATATTTAAAAATAAAACGACTCTTGAAGTTTGAGAAGAGATTAAGGAAGACACCAGTGTGGAGTGGCCTCCATATACACTCGGGGACACATGAAACCATAGGAAAGCTCTGGAGTCTGGAGGTGCCTGTCCCCAGTGCTCCCACCTGCAGCTGCCAGCTGCACCCAACTATTTTCTCTGGACCCTGCAGGTCACGTGAGTCAGCACAGAAGGAACTTGTGAAATCACTCCAGACTAGGGGCAGACCCTTGTAGGAGGCTCCTGTGGCCAGAAGATTGGGGACAGGGATGCTGCCTCACTTCAGAGTCAGCTGCCCCCCCAGTTGTGCCCTCTGCCCAGCTGCCTTGTTCAGGGACTGCTGCACTTGTTTCTGTTCTTCTCTTGAAGGGTTAAATGTCACTGAGGTACCCTGGGTTTATTATGGGGTTTTTGGTTTTGGTGATGTTAGGCAACCACCATTCCACATCCACAGTCCAGTTTCACTTGTTTGAACAGTGACCACTTCCCCCCTTCCACAATACCAGGCGTAATCAGAGAATGTTGTGTTCAACAATAGATAGTGGTTCACTTTGTAACACTAGGTCCTACCAGCAGTATGTGCTGTGTGATCAGGCGTGATGGTGGCCTGGGGCTTAGTGTAATCAGACTTCCAGCATCTGGTGCATTGGTTCACTCAGGCCTTGGGAGCTTGTGCAGGACTATTTAGCTTTAGAACAACTGTAACCACTTTAGTGGGTTTTTTGTTTTTTGGGGGGTGGGTGGGTGGGTTTCGAGACAGGGTTTCTGTGTAGTTTTGGTGGATGTCCTGCATCTCGTTCTGTAGACCAGGCTGGCCTTGAACTCACAGAGATCCACCTGCCTCTGCCTCCCGAGTGCTGGGATTAAAGGTGTGAGCCACCACTGCCCAGCCCATTTTGGTGTTTTAAAGGTGTGAGATGGGGGGGGGGGAGGCTGGAGAGATGGCTCAGAGGTAAAGAGCACTGGCTGTTCTTCCAGAGGTCCTGAGTTCAATTCCCAGCAACCACATGGTAGCTCACGACCATCTGTAATGAGATCTGGTGCCCTCTTCTGGCCTGCAGGCATACATGCTGCCAGAACACTGTATACATAATAAATAAACATGCAGGTAGAACACTGTATACATAATAAATCTTAGAAAAAAAAAAAGGTGTGCGATTGGACACTCAGGTCCTGATAACTTGTCCTAGACCACAGGAGTGGATGTAGTCTTTGGTGTGGTCGTGTGTCAAGTGATCGGCCAGGTATGGGTGGGCATACCTTCCTGTGGGGCCATTGCCCCAAGGCTTGTGCCATGTGCCTGGCCCACTCCACCCCACCCCACCCTGCGGTGCCAGACATTAACAACTGTCCTGCTTATGTCATTAAAATTGAATTTTGCATTCTCATCTAAGGTTGGTGTTCGAGGAAGGGATATCGTTGTTCTTGGTGTGGAAAAAAAATCAGTGGCCAAGCTACAAGATGAGAGAACAGTACGGAAGATCTGTGCTTTGGACGATAATGTCTGCATGGCCTTTGCAGGTACACTTTGGGCTAGGGTGGTGAGTGGAGCTTTGGTGGGGATTTGGACATTAGGGGAACCGCGGTTGCTGGGTGATGATGGACCCTCCCTGCCATCACTAGTGCCACAGGGATGGCAGTGGGCACCTTCAGCAGATCCAGCCTAGGAAGTCAGTTCCCTGGAACAGAACTAGGTGCTGTCTAACTTGATTCGCAGTTGTTCATGCAGAGGCTGGTGTGCCGTCCTTGTACTCGGTTGTTGTGATGAGTTGCCCTGACTAAAGTCTCTGCCCTCTGGGCAGTGGTGGCACACGCCTTTGATCCCAGCATTCAGGAGACAGGCAGATCTGTGAGTTCAGGGCCAGCCTGGTCTACAAAGACGCCCTCTGTTGTCGCTTCAGGTCTCACTGCTGATGCAAGGATAGTCATCAACAGAGCCCGGGTAGAGTGCCAGAGCCACCGG